TCGACTCGGAAGTCGATAAGGGCCGTGCCAGAGTTGAGCTGGCGCTCATCTTCCAGATTTTCAAATTTGGTGCTCAGTAAGTACAGTATGTAGGTTACTGCATCCGTTGGCTGTCCATTGACAGTTACACCATAATTGATGATCTGGGAGGGGACCTGCATGGCGATACGACGAGCCAGACCCTGAAGGCCTCGTTGTAGTGCTGCAGCTTGTTGTGGTGGTGTCATATTGCCACTCGTTACGTTTAACCATGCATGTACTTCGCGAACGTATTCGCGAAAAGGCGTAGTACCGGCAGGGCCCCATGAAGGGCCAGTAGTACGCGTGTCGTCCATCCCCTGCCGCATGTATCCCACAGCACATCCCATTATTACCCACAGAATGCCGAAGATAGTTATCTTGATCCAATGCATGTGCATTTCGGCTTCGGTGATTGGTTAGGGCTGTGGTTTGTCAGGCTCTGGCGTGGTAGCCGTGAGGCGCCTGACCGGCACGGGATGCAGGTGGCCCCGCTGCGGGTAGCCCTGCAGGGTGACCACGTTCTCGATCGAGTTGCCGATTGGCATCTGGTGGAAGTCAGGAGTGAAGTAGCGCAGTGAAGTAGGAGAAAGCGTCTCGAGTTCGCGGGTGACCCCGCTAGCTCGATCGCGGACTGGCTCCGCTCCTCGCAGAGCCGGCGCAACATGGTATTCCACCGTGGTAGTAGTCCACAAAGTTGTGCCGTGGATTACTGGAATCAGAGCGAGAGCCAGCCACACGAGAGTGTAGCCAGCTCCGCTACCAAGTCGAAAACAAGCTGGTAAGCTTAGGTATACAGTCCGCCTTAGGCGCTTCCATCTCCCAGGCTTAGGCTCATAGCGCATGAGCAAGAGAGCGAGACGAAGCATGGGATCTGGAGTATAGAGTAGGATGGGCATCGTCAATGGAAAGGATGTTTTCCGATCTCAGATGCAAGTAGTGCGCCTCGGTGAGGCACAGTCACATATTAGGCCGGGCCCGGCTTGAGCCAGGCACGGCAGCGGTACATGCTCGATTTATACCTCGCCTTTAAACCTTCTCCGTTTAAAGTCTTTACGGCCTTCCGACGGCCCAAGACGGTCCAAGAGCCCTCAAAGATCGCCCCAAGATCGCCCAAGAGGCATCCAAGATGGCCCCAGAACGGTACCAGAGGAGGCCCCCAAGATGGCCCCAAGAGGACCCCAAGACGGCCCCAAGAGGGCCCCAAGACGGCCCAAGAGGCCTCCAAGACGCACAAGATGGCTTTCAAGACGACCCTA